TCGCTATGATTTTATACACAGTAGTGCACAAGCTGATGGGCCTATAGTGCTTAAGGGATGTGGGAATCATGACTTTGGGAATAAGAGAAATAATAGTGTGATTGGCTGACTTAATGAGATGACCCGTGTGAAAGAAGGTTTGAATAGCACCTACCAGATCTTTTTTGATTATGTTCCAGAATTTCTGAAAGAATATTGGAGGCATACCATCTATACCTGGAGCTTTGTCTGGGCTCATGGAGAAGAGGGCAGATCTGATTTCCTCCTCTCCCACAGGTTTAGTCAGATTTGCATTCACTCTCTCAGAAATCGTGTGTGGTATACCATCCAGAACTTCTTCCATATCCCTTGGTTCTGATGTTGTAAAGAGTTGCCTATAGTAGTCAGCAATTTCCGCACCTAGCTCTTCTTCACTTTTAGTCCAAATGCCATCATCTCTTTGCATTTCCAGCATTCTATTCCTTCTCCTTCTCCCCTCCACACTGGCATGAAAGAAACTGGTGTTTTTATCCCCTGCTTTCAACCATTGCAACCTAGCTTTCTGACTCCAGTAGACTTCCTCTTCTTTGTAGGCCTCTTTCAATTTCTTTTTTAGACCATTTCTAATATCCTTATTGTTCTCCAAATCCCTTGTTTTCAGCTCCTGCAATTGACTCTTGAGCACTTCAATATTCTTCCTCGCATTGCCTTGTACCTTGTTTTTCCATTGCAGCAGTTTCACCCTACACCTCTTCACCTTCTTTATTACTCTGAACATCCGTGTACCTTCATCTTCTTGATCCCAAGCCTGTTTGATAATGCCATTGATCTCTGGATTTTGGAGCCACCTTTTATCAAAATAGAACCTTTTCTTCCTCCTGCTCTGACCTGGCTTGGTATCAAAGATTAGCATACTATGGTCCGAAGCAAAAGTGTCCTGGTGTTTACAGATGACCCTCTCAAAAGTTTGGAGCCAAGAGTAGCTACACAATCCTCTATCCAACCTTTGTTTCACTTCCCCAGCTCTCTCCCAATTGTTATACCAAGTCCATGGATGTCCCTCAAATCCCACATCCATCAGTTGGTTATCGTTAATGAAATCCTTAAAAGCCTTAAAGCTACCCTCCTCCCTCCAGTTGCCACCCCATTTCTTCTCATTTGACACTATGTCATTGAAATCACCTGCTATTAGCCACTTGTCCCCCCACGCTCCTTTCCTCGCCTGAAGCACTTTCCATTGCTGCTTCCTTACTTGATCCTCACTATTAGCATAGACTCCTATAAACCACCAATCACACTTGCCTTCCTTGTCCTCTATCTGAGCTTCAATAGTAAAAGCATTCTTGATCACTTGTTTTATCCGTATTTCCTCCTTCCATAGCAGAGCCATGCCTCCTGCCTTGTGCATAGCCTCTACAAAAACAGCTTCCTCAAACTGCAGTATATTTTTAACTTTTTCCATATACTTACTTCTATTTTTGGTCTCACATAAGAACATTATATCTGGAGAGGAGAGGTTCTTCACCTCTCTCAATTGGGGAATTGTCAAGGGACTCCCCACACCTTGACAATTCCACACAAGTACCCTCATTTAAACATTTGGGTCCTTAAAGGGTTGGACCCCTCTCCCTTTTCCCCTGGCTTTGATCCGTTGTTTCCCACTCCCACCTTCTTTCTCTTTCCTTCCAGTATGATTTCCTCATCAATGTCCATGTCAAGTTCCCCCTGATTTCCTTTCCTTTTCCCATACTTCCTTTCCCTCAAGGTATTAGAACTCAACTCCTGCAGTGGTTGTCTTTGTTTCTTAGGCGACCTTAGCACTCTCAGGATTCTTCTAGCCTGCTTCACCAAAGCCTCTTTCACCTTAGGCCCTTCCAAAGTTACCATGCTTTCATCATCCCATACTGGTGTATTTTCCTTATTGCTTTCAGGCCATGGTGTTTGGACTATTGCTGTAGCTTGTTCCTCCTCCAGCATTAGACAGTCACCACTTGATTCCCTAACACCTTTGCCATCTTCCTGTACTAGTCCATCAGTTACCATCGTGCTATGAGGACAAGTCTCCACACTCGCTACTTCCTCCCCTTTGTTCAAGCTCCTTGTGTCCTGGTCAGTTTTACTAACTGACTCTGAAAGCTTTTCTAGTATTAGTTCCCCACGATCCCTATAGTCACCTTCCTGTGCCACCCGTGCAGTCCTATCACCCGTTGCTCTATCTTCCTCCACACTATCCTCTTTGATTTTACCCATAGAGCCTTTCTCTTTTTGTGAACCTATCCTTGTCTCCTGATCTTCATGTTCCCTTTGCTCCTTACATTCCCCATCCTGGAGCCTCCAATGGTGTTTTTGAGGGTTGAACACCACGCTAGCCTAATTATTCTGAGGTGGTTTCCTTGCAATGCCAGCACGCAACCAGGGACCAAATTGGTTATCCTTTTTCCCTTCCCCAGTATTTCCTTGTCTCATACACGTCCTTTCACTATGTCCTATGATTCCACAATTATAGCAGAAGTCTGGGCACCTCTTGTATTTAAAACACGCCCATTTAGTTGTTTCCCCCACTCTCACAATAGATCCTCTGAGCAATGGTTTAGAGATGTCTGCCATCACTAGGATTTTTAGGTGTCTTCCTTCCTTACCACCCGTCTGTGGAACAATCACCTCTCTAACCTTGTGAAATCCTGCACATATCTTTTTACCTGCTTCCTTGGACATCTAGTGCACCGGCAAATTCCAAACCTGAATCCATAAGGGTGCTAACCTGAAGGCCCTGTCATCCTCCTCAATACCTGTGTACCATTCGCTCAACACCAACATTTGGTTATCAATTATCCATGGTCCTCCTAGTAGAATCCTCTGTCTTTCACTCTCTGAAGGTAGAATGAACTGGAACAAGTTGACTCCTAGCTCCACAACTTGTAGATCTCTAGGATAACTCCAAGCAGCTACCACAAAATTCTTAATCCCAGTGTAATTGGCCACTTTTTCTCCCATTACCTTGCCAATCACACTGTTTTTACACTCCTTAATTCCACCACTTAGTTCATCATTCTCCAGACTCGCCAATTGGAGCTCTGCACTAGAAAGATCAAAGTTTTGCAAGATTTCTGCTAGCTCATTCGCCATACCAATAACAGTTCTGGATGGTACACCACACACAGTTCTGAGGGTTTGCAGATCTACCTTCCTGCGATTCAAAAAGGAATAAATCTACCCTATTCTACCACAGAAACTGATCAAGCTGAAAAGAGAAAAGAACTACAGACACGCAACTTGGGAAGGAATAATATGGCTGAGAAATTACCTGTCTTCGCTCGCTTGGGTATCACGAGGTTCTGTAAGCGTAATGCAGAACTGCTATCTAAAAGGCGCTTGCTTACTTCTGCGTTGTAGTGACTCTCCAACTCCTTCTTAAATAAGATTCTTTTTCTTACTAACTCTCTGTAAATCCTTTCTTTATCCTGCTCTTCTCTCTTTTTTTTTTCCTTTTTTTTTCTTTCTCTTTCCTTTTTTTTTTCCTCCTCCTTTCTACCGAAGATCGACAATCAGCGGCCCTACCTTTGGAATCTTTGGAAGTGAAGATTGAGAGGGATTGCTCGTTGTTGCTGAGAATCCGACAGCATTAATCTAATCCCTTGCATTAAAGGGGCTCGGAAAGACAAGATTGAAGAAAGTGCGCCAAAGTTTTGGTTTCTGGATAGTGTTTAAAAATTCAAACTTCAAAGCAGTACTATACCTATTTGTCAGTAGCTCCCACCAGGGGGAGAGAGAGCTCTCTTTAGAGAGAGAAATGCCTCTACCTTTAGAGAGAGGATTCGTCAGTTTTGTGCTAGAACCTAATTGGTGTGATTTTATGTCAAAATGGAACATTTGGATGTTGCAGCCTTGATGCAAGTATTCATCCCTCGACCTACACCCATGGTGATCTCGATGCAACTTATTGGATTGGGCGTGTAATTTTATAGCAATCCATTGGGCATGTAATCATAGACGAGTGCACGTTTTGAGGTAGTAACACAAAATCTCACTAATCGCATCACAATAATATGGTGAATTTTCCCGATAGTTGCAACCTCGTTGATGAATTCTTGACCATTAGGTTTGAACTTGCTCAATATCTTGATTGCTACTAGTCGACCACTGCACAATTTTCCTCTGTATACACAACCATAACCACCTTCTCCTAACTTTTCCTTAAAATTGTTTGTCATCGTCTTGATTTGTTGGTAGGAGTGCCTGATAGGGGTCAAGTTGTTGCGACTTTGGAGATACTCTTCTATACCGTCATACATCGATAAATGCTTGCTTGGAGATGGATGCTCCACATTCCAACTGAGACTTTCTACGAAACATAAAGAAAGAGTAACGTTAAACTACAGACTCTAGATTGGACTTGGTGGACTCCAAGGATGGAAGATCATAACGGAAAACGGGAGATTAAGACAGGATAAGACAATAACTTCACTTTGGCCTTGTTTCCTGCGGGTAAATTTGCAAAACTTAGTCCCTTGCTATGCTTCTTTGTCGAAAGTGAGTTATAAGTGGGGTTAAAAACAAAATATTCCTAAATCCATTGCAAAAACTGAACATCATCTTTTGGTGAGTTGAAGCCACAATTACAAATCAGTGGGGTTAAAAAAAAAAAAAAGTTTATTAAGCTACCATACTCAGAAGAAGCTCAAACGGTCTCCGAAAGGTTTCGTCCATAGAAATAATGGATCATGCAAGCAAACTGGAGAAGGTTTATCATATACAACTAAACATCGTGATTTAAGAGGCTCAAAATGGATAGCATCTATGACAAAAAAGAATACTAAAAGCTGAGATATATAAATATTGGATGGTGCATTGAGAATTGTGGTTTATTATGAGATGCAATATGACTTGTTGGTCAAATCAAGGCGAGGGATTTGCTCTGAATAACCACCAAGGGAAAATAAAAAGGAGTAAATTCAATATTTATTTTTCCTCAGTTTTCAGATAAAGAAAGTTAAAACTCATACACTGCTCTGAATCAGCTTGACTGGAAAGGTCACAGAATAAAGTAACCAAAAAAATAAAATAAAATACAATTTTGACAGTTTTGACCAGACTAACGTGAAAAAGAAAAAGCCCATTGAATTAAGTTAGGCAACCGCGCGAATGAAGGAATATTGTATAGCAAACAGGGACATTGTACAGGCTGTGACATTGACATTTATAAATTTAGATCATTAAGCTGCATCATCTTACTCTGTTTCTTCAAGAGATACAGACTCACCTGTTGACTCTTCCCAAGTACTACTATAGCTATTGCTCTGCACCAGCCGAGGGGAATCCGGAGGATAAAACAGAGGTTTTGGTGGCAACTGCAAGGCTGTGAGATCACCTTGTAGCATTTCCACCACTTCTCTCATTGAAGGCCGATCATCTGGCGTCATCTGTATACACCACAATGCAATCAAAATTAATTTTCTTGCAGTTCTGTTTTCATCTTCAGTTGCATCTTCAACTTCCAGGTTCTCTCCTTGGTCAAATTTGTCATATATCCATGAAGGGAAGTACATTTGGCTTGAATGCTCAGCATGTGCATTAAGGTTTCTCCTCCTTCCTACCAACTCCATAAGCAGCATTCCGAAGCTATATACATCAGCCTTGGATGAGACTTTTCCAACCCTTTTGTAGAACAATTCTGGAGCCATGTATCCTAATGTTCCTCTCACAGCAGTTAGACTTACAGTATTATTTTGAACAGGATGTAATTTAGCTAGTCCAAAGTCAGAAACCTTTGGCGTGAAGTTTTCATCAAGTAAGATGTTGTGTGGCTTTATGTCAAAATGCAAAATTTGCATGCTGCAGCCTTGATGCAAGTATTCAATCCCTCGAGCTACACCCATGGCGATCTCGGTTGCCTTCTTCCAACTTAATGGATTTCCATCCAGACGTTCGGAGAAAATGAACTTTTCTAGGGATCCATTAGGCATGTAATCGTAGACGAGTGCATGCTTTGAGGCAGTTACACAAAACCCCACTAATCGCACCACATTAACGTGGTGAATTCTTCCAAGAGCTGCAACCTCATTGATGAATTCTTGGCCATTAGCTTTGGACTTGTTCAACATCTTGATTGCTACTAGTTCACCACTACGCAATGTTCCTTTGTACACACAACCATAACCACCTTCTCCTAACTTTTCCTTAAAATTGTTGGTCATCTTCTTGATTTGTTTATAGGAGTACCTGATAGGGATCAAGTTGTTGCGACTTTGGAGATACTCTTCTATAGCATCATATACCGATAAATGCCTTCGTTGGCACTTGTAGATGAGAAATGCAAGCAAGAGTATAATGCCAAGAATTGCTCTTGGTAGAACAATGAAAGCTGTAATGGAGTCAAAGACGAAGCAGACAACGTATAACTTAATTACGCGGTTTAACAGTATTTAATTCATTCATAAAGGAAAAGTTTGAAAGCTTACATAGCAATTCGCCTGCCATCATGCTTACACATGCTGCAACCAAAAGGGAATCGTGATTACCAAGACAATTAGATTAAATAATAGTAGTAAAAGATTTCTGTTACAACTTTATCTATTACATTATCTCATTATGCTACCCATCCAATTTACACACGTCCCATGCAATAATGGAAAAGAGTACAACGTTTAAAATGTCTCTCATGGTCAATTTATTTTGAGAAACTTGTCAATATATAAAGTTATCAAATATAGTGATGTGTAACAGAAAACCTCAAACTCAAAAATATCTTTAAAATATTAAAAAATATATATGTTTTTTTACAATTGCTAATGAAATTTGAAAAAGGCCAAATGTGTCTCTAATGTACAATGAGACTTGTGTTCCTAGGAAATGAAACTCAATTTAGACTGAATCCAGCGCGGGATCTTAGTTTGGATCAAGCCTGATGGAAGCGTGAATTGTGTCCAGAGAGCACTTCAATCTCCAAAATAGGATCCAGCCGTGGATCCATCTTGGCCTGATCATAGAATCGGATCTGTCCTCGATTCTGTTCTTGTGAGGACAAGCATCCGCAAACGGATTCTTCTTGGACTTGAATCCGGTTTTGCAAAGACATGGCTCTGTAGCCAAATCCTTTTGTAACGGTCAAATTATTCTAAAGCTGTGTTGGCACCTTTTCATGTTTAGAAGTATTTTTTATTAACACCTTTTGGTGTCCAAAACATGCGAGAATGTGTCTGATCATTAAACAGCCATTGGAAAACACTATTCCATATAAAACACACAAATCTCGTTAAATTAAAACTAACTTTTGCGTTTGATCTTTTCTTAGTGAGACTAGTTAGACCTTGCTGTTGATTCTTCTCTTTTCTTGTTGAATCCTAGGAGTAAATCGCCACAACCCAAAAATATAGTATTTCATCACTCCTCAATAGTTCATCAAACTTTCCCTTCTATTTGTGTGCAATTTAGTTTAGAAATTTATGCACTTTGTGTGCTTTTGTACTACATTCATCGATATAACAAAAACGTATACTTTATACACACTAACACTCTGCAAAAAATGCCATAAAAATACAAAAAAAAAGATTGAAAAAAACTGATGCTTAAGCTTTATGGTACATCACATCTCTTCTCTCCATTACCCTTCATTAACCCCACTATCCATATCCTCGTACCATTATAATTAGCCCATCTCTTCCTTCCCCCTCCCACACCTACCACCTCTTTCCTCCTCCCTTACCTCTCTGGTCTCGACCTTTTCCCCTCTATTTTCCCCATTGCGACGCTGCCCCCTAGGTTGCAGGGTGAGGGTGAAAAGAGAGGAGGGATCAGAGGAAAGAAGTAGCAGCGGAGGGAGGGCAAACAGAAGGCAGCAAGGAGATATTGGGGGTGAGGGAGAAAGGCGGCGAAGGGGCCGTGGAAGGTGGTGGTGGCTAGCGGGAAAAGGGAGGTGTTCTCCTAAAAATAAAATAAGAACCCTAAAAATATATTTAAATTATAGTAATTATCTATAAGTAGTAATTTTTACTCTAGAAGTTGCATGACAATAATTGTATTTGAACGATATTTGTGCTTATTGGATAAGTATGAGTGGATTTCTAAGAAGTAACATTTAATTGTTTACACCAATACTATAAACTATGAAGATATGCTCAAAGTCAACTAATTGCTTATTTTAATTGCAATGACAAATTATTCTTTTCTTTTTTGGTTAAAGGAAGACTCCAAAATTTATAAGAAAAAGGGTAAAAAGCTTGAAAATTTGACCAAGGATACCACGTGAATTGACTAATGTCCATATCAGTTGATTTTGGAGACATGAATTATCCTTTCTTTTCTAATTCTCTAAATAGTACAAAAGCAAGGGGAGTGTTTGGATCGAGATTATTCAAAATAATATTTAGAATAATTTTTGTTATGTGATATATGTAAAATAAAAAAACAGTTATAAATGTAAAAACGCAATTGAAAAAGTATAGATTATTCTCATAATTCTAAGTTCCACGAAAGTATCTGAGCTTCATCACTGCACCATCAGATCCCTATATGGGCATTGGGTGCAATTGTTCCTTGTACAAAAGACAAAACTAATTAGGATAAATTACCAATCATCTCTTTGTGGTTTTGAACATTATTACATGATCCCTCTAACATTTGAAAATATACTCATAACACACCTTATAATTCTATACAAAGTAAATAAAAAAAAAAAAAAGGACAGAAAGCATCTTACAACGATTGCCTCAAACATGTGATGAAATTTGAAAACTGACTTAAAACCCCTATGATTTTTCATCTATATATTACACACACACACACACACACACACACATATATATGATTTTACATATATATACATAATTATGCTATCGTTTTATTTAGCACTTACATAAGGATAATCCTAACATTTTAACTAACAACATTAAGAATGTTGCTTTTTGCCAAACTTCGCTTTACCTACAACTACAGGACGTTTACATGGAGGTTGTGAAATGTTAGACGATCATGTGAGATAATATGAGAAACTGCAAGAGATCAGTCATAATTTACCCAACTAATTATCACAATACAAGCTGGAATATGAATCGGTTTGAGATTGAGAACTAATATGAACAATTAAATTAATGATGCACTTACCGGGAATTGATCTCTTACACATGTTGAAATATCTCCCATATTCAAGCTCAAAACCAGATGCCATGGCGTCATGGATCTCCTTGAAGGAAATATTCCTTGCGCTATCATTAAGAAAGTGCTGAAATCGTGAATACATGACTTTGTGTATGGTACATGTCTCTTCAATATCAGAAGCCACCAGATCACTAGCTCTTTTGCCAACGACAACATAACTATAATTGCTTTCCGAGCCCTCAAGGTTTGATAATTCTTTGGCAGTTACACAAGGAGCAGTGTCGACGTATAGAGGAGCTACAACTGGTTTCTTGCAAGTCAGCATCAGAAATAGCATTTGATTATCGCCATAATGCGGGCTTAAATAACTATCATAAAAATAAGGATAAACATTTGAGTAAAGTGGAATGGTGGAGCAGTTGTTCTTCTGCAGCTCAGGATCGATTACGCGAATCGAATCTAAGGGGCTTTCATATTTGCCATCGATGCTTTCCTCAGCTACATAATATTTATGGGAGTTGGGTCCTAAGTACAAAACAGTACGATTGCGCTCGCAAGAGAGTCGAACATCAGGGTCACCACAGCCTCGAGGATCGCCCTCTACTCCAAGAGGGTATCTGACTTTAATGAGGATTTTCCCGCACCTGAATTGGTGCTGGCATCTCAGAGAAACAGTCTCAACAACCATGGTGAGGGAAAAACAAACTGCAGCGAAAAACTTCAGAGGAAGCATGGTGACCATCCGCAATTATCTTAAGAAGGGAAAAGAAGAGACTTTATGAGTTTCAAAGATGAACTAAAACTTTGTTAATCCAAGCCACTTAGTAGTTAAATTCAGTAATAGTGTCGGCAATTTACTTGGTCAACAATGGCAATACTCGGCTTTGAAAAGTCTATCTGTTCCAATAAAAAATATAGATGGAATCGAAATGGATTCTTGCTCAATAGAAAAAAAGGTATGAGAATGAAGTTCCTGCATTACACTTTGACCTAGTTTTTTCTTTGATTAAATGAATAAAGATAAAGATTTTTGGTTATCTAAGATGCTTCTATTTGTGGAATCTATATTCACATCACCCAATTAGTAATAATTGTTTTAATTTTCTCATTAAACTGATATTTTTAAAAGAATAAAAGTTGATATTTGAAGACAAAAAAAAAAAAAAAATCAATCTGTCTAGCAAAACATCACTCCTCATCTTAATGATAAAATACTCATTATGATTTGAGTAGTATTTATCAGAACTTTCCACACTTTTGCCCAGATTTCAAATCAGATTATCATTTTCAAATTCTACTTTTGTGATATCGCATCCTTCAAGTCAATTAAACGTAGTCCAAAACAACTCAAAAGTCGGATTGCTTTTCTAAGGGTGAATTTTAAAACATCTATTATTCTCAAGAACACAAAAATTTCAGGCATGTAATTGGAGTCTTTCAAAATGGTGGTGTTAAGATTCACATCAAGTTGTTTTTTTTTTTTTGTTTTTTTTTTTAACATTGCGTTAGAGAATGTCTACTAATTAGCAATCCGAAATATTCCATGAATTATTGGCACCAAACAATTAAATGTTGGTCGGTTATACTTCCACATCATGAACAGCAGTCCAGGATGGTGGTCTCCGGTGACAACCGGTCAGCTGGCCTCCCCGGTCAAAATATTATGCCACATTAGAGCTGGCAATTTGTCCCAAGCCCCAATGGGCTACCCATGCCCAAAGGAACTTTGGGCGGGATGGGTATTATAATTTGGTATTGGGTTTAAGTTGGGACACATCCCAACTATACCCATTAATGAATGGGAAAGGATGGGAAATACTTGGGTACCCATTGGGCTCAAATGGCAAGGGCTCCGTTTGGATTAGCTGTTTTTGGTAGGTGTTTTTGAAATATTTTATTGTAGCCGTGTATATGAAAAATTTTTACTATAAAATTTTTTTGAAATATTTGATATACTAATATGGATGGGATGTTTCTTGAGTTATTGTATATTACTGTAACATTGTATTTGAAAAACTTATTTTTAAAAAAAATAGTCAATCCAAACGGAGTCTTAGATTCAAAAATTATCTTTAACAATTTTTATAGTCATACCAGCGAATATAATCTAGTAGTCTTCCTAGTCATTATCCACAAGAATTTCCAGCATTTCAGTTAGTTTAGACCTGTCATCCTTGGACAATGATGAGGATAAATATTCAACATCCTAAGGACTTTGGCCATCTTGATATATGTTGGAATATGGCTGTATATCTATCTTTTCCTTTATTTGTTAATCCAATTTTTGGTGGGAATCTTGAGTATAAAGCACTTGCATGTTTATTTAATAAAACTAAAGAAATTTAATAAATCAAAAATATTAAAATTATATAAAAAATAAAAAATGAATTAAAGGAAAAAAAAATATGTAGAAAATGAATTTGGGTATTGGGTGGGATGAATCTAAACCCATCCCAAAATGATCCCGCCCAAGTTAGTCCCAAAACACATATGGGTAAGGTTGGACCCAAACCCATATGACTCGGTTCCATTTCAAACCCAAGCAAATCCCGCCCATCCCGCCCATTTTGCCACCTCTATGCCACATTTTCTCGAGAGTGACATTATTGGGGTCTACTTTGGCAAATTCACTCTCCAAAAATATAGAATCCTTTTTTTTTTTTATCAATGATATATAGACTAAGGGGGCGTTTGGTAAAAGGATGAAGGAATTGAATAAACTCCATAATTGGTGTTTGGTTCACTGATATGGGAATTGAAATTTTGGAATGATTTCTAAAAATTTGGCATCCCTTCATTCCTTAGTAAAAGGGTGGGTTTTGTTCAAAACCCAAGTGTGATTCCAAAATCTTATAATTACATAATATTTAGTATAATTAATATTTATATATGTTATATATTTATATTATACTATATACATATATATAATATATTATAATTAAAAAAATTTATTATAATTATATATTTTATTATAATATTAGTATATTATATAAATATATATTATAATTATTTAATTAAATATAATTAAATTTATATAATATATATTATAATTTTCTTAATATTATATAATAATATGTTTATAATATATATGTATATTTATAAATGTATATTATATGTGCATATAATTATAATAAATACATGTATATAATATTAATAAATTATATAATTATATTTATATTTATTATTTTAAATATAATAATATATAATAATAACTATATCTAATTAATATGCATTATATTTATAAAAAATATTAGTACAATTAATATTTATATATTATATAATTATAATTATATATTTATATTATAACATTCGTATAATTATAATTAATTATATAAATAATATTTAATTTAATTAGTTACAAAATTATAATAATGATATTATTATATTATATATTTATATATTATAATTATTTAGTTAAATATAATTATACTTATATAATATATATTATAAATTTAGTAATATTATATAATAATATATTTATAATACATATGTATATTTATAAATGTATATTATAGTGCATATAATTATAATATATACATGTATGTAATATTAATAAGTTATATAATTATAATTATTATTTTAAATATAATAATTGATAGGTTGCAATTTATTCATTTATTTTATTATTAATTCCTCCTATTACCTGACTTGATGTGGATTTATTTGCTGGATTCTACTCACTTTTAGTATTTGACGTTTATTTCAGGAAGTAAAATACAAATATGATAACAGGTGCCAAATTGACAGAAAAAGAATTCAGATGATAAAGCTTGTCTAGAGGCACTTTTGGAAGAGAAGATGTCACGCCCATTTTGGTAATCTTCGCAGAGGAATGAGGGACGAAGGGCTTCTCTTTCTGCTGTGAGCCGCCGCAATAAAGGAGGAACAACAGGATCAGATGTGAAAGAGGGGGCTTAGTTTTTAGTTTTCCGTCTGTAGCTTAGCTTGAGTTTGTTGACTTTTTCTTGAGTTTTGGCTCTTGACTTTTCTTACGCATGGCAGGATAATTTAGCTTGAGTTCTTGACTTTTCCTAGTTACCTTACTTTTAGCTTTTTGTCTCCACGCATGTTAGGAGCAAAAAGTTGGAGCCCACCTTCTTTAACTTTTCCACTTTGTTTCTCTTGAGTGGCCCTGCTCCACGAATGCTAGCAACAATAAAGAAACTCAATTGTGACTTGCAATTGCCGTGTGCCTTATAAGTGTTCGACGAATTGCGGATTCCTAAGATGCAGACTAAGGCCGTGACTTTGGCTGAAATTTCCTGCGGGCTTAGTTCACCCAATATGAGCTAATCCCCTCATTCTAGTCAAAAAACGACGGATGCTTTGATTCGCCTAAAAATTGTGAGATCGATTTAATTTAATCTTTTCCTTTTATTTATTAGTATTCGTGTATTCCTTGATTGCTACGCTTATGGTTATTCAATTAATTGATTGTCGTGGATCCGGATAATTAATTGATCAGATAGCCTATTGTCAACTAGGGCATTTAAATCCGTAATTGTTTGATTGTCCTGAATTAGTGACGACTGGCACGATTAGCTTCGTGTCAGGGGAATACACGGGCTAACTTAAAGTAACCATGGTAGTGTGTTATTTGGTTAGAATAGGGCTCCTCTAATACGTAAGGCAGTTGGGAAATTAAATCTTACGGGCGTACCTAGGATTATTCCTCAATTAGAGCAGTGATTAACGGGCGTACCTTAATCATCGACACAGTAAGGAGGGGTTGACTGCCATCGTTTGTTTGGTAGTTATAACCTATTTATTGATAAGTAGTTGGGATTGCCTTTGCTTCGATGATCAATTAGGTGAACCATTGCTGAAGTTATTTCTTGGCTAGATCTTTAATTAATATTATCTTGATTGTAGTGAATCGCCATTCGGTTTTTGGTTGTCTACTTTATTTCCTTTTTAATTGTTTCCTTGTTTTAATTAATTTAGGCCTTTAATTATTGTTACTCTAAGTTCAGTGAACTGTGGTTTAAATTCTGGTTAGCTATTTATTTTTATTTTCTTATTTGAGTTTATTTAATTGTCGTCGTTCCTACAAACTCACCCCCTGCGTTACTTTGGATTTCTTAAGAAACAAATATACCCAGTCCCTGTGGATACGACCCTACTTGCCCTGTCTACAAATTCATAATTATTTGTGAAAAGAAAAGAAACCATTCCATTCGAGTATATCGGATCAAGCAAACTCTTCGGGAACAGGGTGAATCAAGTAACCCATTGCACACCTAGAGTCCCTGCTCCAGTACTTGGAATTGGGTTTTGGTCATTTTAACTGGCAACTAGGTTTAATTTTATTATTGCACAGACTGACGACCTGTCAATAATATATAATAAGAAAATAGATTTAATATGTAATATATATTATATTTATATAATTAATATTTGTATATATTATATAATTATAATTATATATTTATATTATAACATTTGTATATTTATATTTAATTATATATATAATATTTAATTTAATTAGTTACAAACTTATAATAACAATATTATTATTTATATGTATTTTATAATGTATATTAATTTATGTAATATAATTAATATTATCAATTATACTAATAATTATACATGTTTACTAATAGAAATTTTTAATTAGTTAGACTAAATTTACTAATACATTTATACTAATATATTTAATTAGTAAAAATTTCTTATATCCCATTTACAAAGAGCCAATAACTATCATTTAGGATGTGGTTTATAATATATTTATTATATTCCATTTCGAAAGAGTCGACGAACCAAACATCAATTATAATAATGATACACATTACAGGTATTTGAACCA